GTAAGTCATAAACTACTTCTATTTTCAAGTATTCATCTCCTTGTTTTTTTTAATTAATTTCTAAACTTGCATTTTATTTTAGTTGGAGATGGAGTCTCTTATTTCAAATGATCCGTCATTGACTGCCGACTCGAACATAGAAGGAGAACAAAGCAATAAAAGGATCGACGAGCTTTATATCACAGTCGTTGGAGGAACTTGTAAAAAACGACGCCTATACGGTCTCGGGAGTTATGGCACATCACAGGTAGCTTCACTTTTCTTTGTTTTACCTTTTTTTTCCTATTCAAGTGATTTTGTTGGCGATTAGAATTTGGATTTTGTGGTGATTTTTAGTGTAGTTTATTTGATTATTTATGGGGTGTTTGAGTTTGTGGAATCTATGTATTTTCTGTCCAATGAAGTTGTTGAATTTGTGCAACAGTAATGGTATGAATTGAAGACTTTTCTATTATATGATTTTTTTTTCTTTTTAATTTGTTGGGGGATAATATATACTCTACTGTTAGATCAGCTATATTGATGTCCAAGGCAGTTAGAATTTACTTTAAGTTGTTTTCTTCTTTTATTTTTATTGCCAAATTATTTTTGTAAAATTGTTAGATTTATTGATTTTAATAATCTTATGATTGAAGACCTCTTTGGAACAGTTTTCCCATTGCTCCGAGACTGAGTTGGAGCGCGTTCGAGAGGAAGGTAGGGTTGAAGGGCGAGCGGAAGTACAAGTGAAGTTGGATGAGTTGCAACAACAATTTAAGACTTTTGAAGAACGTTTTGAGATGATGATGTCTCAAAGTGGCGGTGAGACGAGGCTAAATGTCAACTAGATGATTTTATTGTTTGTTTGATACTTTTATTTATTATTATCATATTTTGGATGTGATTGATATGTTTTGGATGACGAATTTATACTTGTTTGATACTATCATGTTGGCTTCTGATGATATCGGTTATTTTGGATATAGTCGTGACTTTTGGAATTCACATGTTAAGGGTAATTTACTTTGAAATAGATGGTGTATATTATTGTTTGTCATTTTTTTATTTGATTTTAGTAGGTATTTTTTGAATTGAAAATATATTTATTTTTTAAAATTAATCTATTGTACCAAATATGTACCCTTTTAAAATTTGTAGGCAATCTTTACCTATTTGACCTACAAAATACCTAGACTCCAAAAAATTGTAGGTAATTTGTAGGTACTTGATATGTTATTAATAACATGTAAGTGATGTCTAGCTATTTAAATTTGTAGTGAAATAATAGTAATATATGTAGTTAATGTCTAGCTATTTATATTGAAGGTAATTTGTAGGTAACGTGAAGTAACAGTTTGTATGAAATGTCTAGCTATTTAAAATTTGTAAGTTTTCTAGGTAATTGTTAGTAATAATTTGTAGGCAATATCTAGTTATTGAAACATTATAGGTAATTTGTAGGCAAAAGTTTTGTAGGTACTTTCTAGGTAATTGTTAGTAATAAGTTGTAGGTAATATCTATTTATTGAAACATTATTGGTAATTTGTAGGCAAAAGTTATCTAGGTATTTTGTAGTAGTATTGGTGAAAACTTTTGTAGTAATATGTAGGTAAAATTTTTGTAAGTATTATGTTGGTGTATATGTTGGTAGAATGTATTCAATTTATAGGGAAATAGCTAGACATATACTTAACTACAAAACTTTCTAGGCATTTTGAAGTAATGTTGATGAAAAAATTTGTAGGTAATATGTAGATAAACAT